TACCAGTCACTGACCTCTGCATCAGAGCTACCCAAGAGGACTTCTGTAGTAATTCAGTTCTTTATCTGTGCCATTCTGTTAGTGGCACCAGCCATGTGTGGATGAGCACCTGAAATATGGCTAGTGAACTGAAGGAAATGTTACTTAATTCTTACTCATTTAAAATGTCTTCACATACTGGGCAGGAGATGCAGCTCATTTGGTAAGTTGCCTACCTAGCAAGCACAAACCCTAGGTTCAATTCCCAGCACTATATAATACCAGGTGTGGAAGTGCATGCCTGCTATCCCAGCACTCAAGAGGCAGACTCTCAGCTACACAGCAATGCCAACTCACGCCTGGGCCACAGGAGGTGTATTAATCAATAAGCTGCACAAGGTTACTGATTGTTATATCAGACCACAAAATTCTAGATGATCCTAAATTCCATATATTTTGTTTTTATTTTATAGATTCGTTTATGTGTTTGAACATTTATATGTCCCTGTATGTATGTCTGGTGCCCACAGGTCAGAAGAGCTTTGAATCCCCTGAAACTGGAGTTATAAGCAATTGTAGGCTGCCATGTGGGTACCGAGATAGAAACCAGGTCTTCTGAAAAAAAAAAAAAATTTTAAGGCCAGGCATGGGATCCCAGCGCTAGGCAGGCAGAAGCAGGTGAATCTCTGAGTTCAAGGCCAACCTGGTCTACACAGGACAGTCAAGGTTACACAAAGAAACCCAGTCTCAAAAAAAAAAAAATTAGTGTGTGTGTCTGACGGATGTGTGCGTCTGTCAGCAGACAACTTTGTGGAGTTGATTTTCTCCTTACACTTCTACATGAGCTCTAGGGATCTGACACAAATTGCCAGGATTGTATGGAAAGTGCCTTTACCCAATGAACCATCTGGACAACCTCCTAATTTGATTTTAGACTTCACTCCTCATAACAGGCTCTATATGTTTGTGTTTGCGTATGTGTGTACACAAATATTCCTTCATGTACGTGCATGCCTATAGTGGCCAGAGGCTCACTACAGGTGTCTTCCTCAGTTGCCCTTTCCACTTTGGCACAAGTGTGTGTGTGTGTGTGTGTGTGGTGTTGGGTGTGAGTGTTCATGTGCATATGTGAATATATATATAGTAAGTGTATGAGTGTGCACACCTGTGTAGACCTGTGAGTGCATGTGTGTGTGCATACCTTGGTAGACCAGAGGTTTCTACCTCTATCACTGTCTCTCACTGAAAACAGAGCTCGCTATTCAGCTGGAGTAACTGACCAGCAAGCCCCAGTGATCTCTCCACACAGCAATTAGACTCCTTTCCCTAAGGATCCTCTTCTCTGCACTAGGAAACCTCTTCTGATTTAATTGATAAGTCAGTCCAGTGGAACTAAGTCTGAACAGCTAGACAAGCACCCAGACCAGGCTCCAAGCAAGGGGAGGAGGGCTCTCCTGAGTGCACTTTCTTATTTGTAGTTAACCTTGGTGAGAGACAAAATGACTTTGCTGCTATGAACTGAATTATGCCCTACAAAATCCGTATGCTAAAGCCCTAATATTTGGAGATAAATCCTTTAAATAAATGAAGAAACATTAAAGAAAGGTTAAATGAAGTCCTGAGGGTAAAGCAATAATCCAATGATGGCTATCCTTCTAGGAAGAAAGAGGGCAATGGAGCCACACATGGCAGAAAAGCTATGTAAGGATGCATCAGCTGCCACAATGAAGAAAGGCCTCAGTGGAGCCTGAGCTGCTAACACGGTCATCTTGTACCTCCAGTGACCAGAACTATGAGAAAATGAACCTTTGTTTAAGCCATCCAGACTGTTGTTTTTGTTATGGCCACCTCAGCAGGCTTGGGACCCTACCCTGACCCTGACAGAGCATTGTAGTGACCCTGCCTAGGACAACCTTTCAGGTACCATACTAGTCTTTACCTGCCAAGTATGCCAGGCCAGGCTTCCCCTAGGCCTGCATATTCTCACTACATGTTAATCCCTTCATTTCTCATACCTCCCTACTGGTGTAGGAGGTTCTTCTGTTCATGTGTTGCTTTATTGGTTAATGAATGAAGAAACTGCTTTGGGCCTGAGAGGGCAGAACTTAGGTAGGCAGAGAAGACAGAACTGAATGCTGGGAAGAAGGGCAGAGAGAGCGAAACCTTGGATCTTCTGCCTGAGAGGGACACTAGTTAGAATCTTGCCAGCAAGCCACAGTCACGTGGCGTTACACAGATTAATAGAAATGGGTTAAATTAAGATGTAAGAATTAACCAATAAGAAACTAAAGCTAATGGGCCAAGCAGTGTTTTAATGAATACAGTTTTCTTTGTGGTTATTTTGGGGGCTAAGCTAGACAGGCGGCAGGGATAAACAAGCGGGCCCTCTCTCCTTGCAACATCTCTACTACAGCATCACCTTCACTTCCTCTGTTGAAGTTTGGATCTTCAATGTTTCCCAGAAACTGTGCCTCTTAGACTTGGCCACCAGCCTGCTGTCCCACAGGGAGGTGGCAGATCCTAAAGGGAGGATGTGAGGTCACTGGCGATGTCCCCAGAGGGGATCCTGGGACTCCAGTCCCTACCTCTTGGTTTACCAGCTGCCATTAGGCAAGGATTCTTCTGCCACACACCGAACATGAATAAACTGTGCAAGTATCTAGGGGTTGGGAGTTCTCAAATGTGAGCAAAATAAACTTTTTCCAGTCTAGAGGGAAAAGTCTAGCTCTATGATAACGTTTGCCTGACTGGGCTCCTTCACATGTGGGCCTCTATTAGGTGTTTCTGCACGTGTGTTCCATGCATCTGACTGTCCTCACTGGACTCTAAATTCTCAAAGAATAGCCTAGTGGTCAAGGCCCTCATGAGCTGGCTCTGATTTATTTCTCACTTTTTCTCTCACCTGGCCGACCCGTCATTAACCCCTGGAAAAGCTCTGATTTTCCCAGTCTTCAAGACTGTCGTCACCAGGGCTTCTCCTCCCCACCTCAGCCAAACATGCAAGCATGCAGCAGCTTCCACGATGCCACCACAATCGTCCATCCTTAGCAGAGACCACCGCATGTGATGACGAGGATCTGGAGCCTGCAGACTCTGCCAGCTTAGGGAGGTCCCCCTGCAACGTGACTGCCGTCACTTCAGATAGCAGGCGCATTTCTGCCCAACTAGCTATAGACACAAGTCTTCCTGGAAACCCTTCAGCTTTAGTAATTTGCAAAACAAAACTCAGGAAATAAAAACACTGTATTTATTTATTATATTTTATCACAAATACAAATCAAAGACTAGGGATAGAGCAGTGAACACTGTACATCCACAAAACTCTGGGTTCAGTCCCCAGAACTCCCAAAAGACACATAGAGAATATGAATAAATACACAAACCAGCACCAACTACCCAAAAAGAAACAGACATACGTGCGTTCACCAACCAGCAAGCTTGGCAGAAACCAGTGTACAAAGTTCTGGTCAGGGTCACTATATAGGTATAATTGGTTGAGATCATGGACCACTCAGCTGAACTCAATCTCTAGCCTTATCTCACCCTGACATTCAGGCTGAGATCACCCTTCAAAGTTACAACCATCAAAGCATAAAGCTGGTCTTTCTAGGGGACTGGTCTCCATCCTGCGTCCAAGTTCAACAAACCCTGCTGTGCTCTGAGGTTCTGACATGAATAATACTGACATTTCTATTGCTTTTTAAGATTTATTTTATTATTATTAAGTATACAGTATTCTGCCTGCATTATGCCTGCAGGCCAGAAGAGGTCACCAGATCTCATTACAGATGGTTGTGAGCCACCATGTGGTTGCTGGGAATTGAACTCAGGACCTCAGGAAGAACAGCCAGTGCTCTTAACCTCTGAGCCATCTCTCCAGCCCCCTGACATTTCTATTGTTGAGGAAACCTCAAAGTTCCCTCTCAGGAACTGAGACAGCTGATTAAAATCTTGCTAATTTTTAGAATGCTGGAGATGACTTGAGTCCCAGGAAATAAGGAGACCACATGCTCCTCATTAAGGTGGTCCTACGCTCCCACTGTGGGTTACTCTCTAGCCCTTATCACAGATCACCTAACCAACCACTTAAGAGACAGAGGAGACATCAGCCTCCCCATCAACCCCAACAGTGCCCCAAGTACCTGATGAACTACTGGACAGCCCCCCTATCAAAACCCCTGCAGGTTGGCTAGGTTGGCTAGAAGTTTCATATACCCCTCCCCAAGCTACCTAAATAAAGTTTCTGCAAACAGTGGATAGAGAAGGAGGGAGGGAATGTCCTAAAACCAACATTCTCCCGCCAATGAAGTGCACAAGGGAAAGAGAACCAACACGAGAAGGCTTAGGGATCTTTAATGCTTAATCTGAAAAGTCACAGATTTTCGTAACACTGGTCCTTCCCCAGTAAGCAAAGGTCTTTAGAGCAGACAGGGAATTCCCTCATAGTGTACTGGTACGCCAGCTCAGAGGGAGGCAAGCAGGAAGAGTGTGTGGTGGGCACCACATGTCCGCCCTTCGCAAAGCACTCTGCAGTGTCCCCTCGGTCCTCACACCTCACACCAGGGGCAGGAGGCAGGAACCCAGCTTACAGAGAATCTTGAGACTTAGACAAGTTGTTCATAAGCAGGTCAGGCGGGGTGGCACAAGCCTATAATCCCAGCATTTAGGCAGAAGATCACCACAAGTTTGTTGCCAGGTTGGTCTTTAGAGAAAGTGCCAGGACAGCCATTACTACACAGTGAGACCTTGTCTCAAAATTCAGAAGGAAACAGGATATGGTGGCCTATTCTTTTAATCCCAGCAGTCGGGGCAGAGGTGGGAAGATTTCTTATGAGGTCAAGGCTGGATCGTGTCTACACAATGAGTTACAGACCAATACAATGAGACCTTGCTTCAAATTTTAAAAACAAATAAACAACAATAACAAAAACAAAACAGGAGTTTTAATTTTTTAAGATAGGGTTTCTCTGTATAGCTCTGGCTGTCCTGAAACTCACTGTGTAGACCAGGCTGGCCTTGAACTCAGAGATCCGCCTGCCTCTGTCTTCCAAGTGCTGGGTTTAAAGGTGTGTGCCACCACTGCCCAACTGAGAGAGGTTTAAAAAAAAAAAAGTTCACAGGCCTCACGGGGGAAGGGGAATGAAGATCTAGATCTTTCCTAGTCTGCAACATATAAGTGTCCCTCGGATCCAACCTCGGTCTCCCTGAAGAAATTCACTTTTTATTATTTGTTTGTTTGTTTGTTTGTTTCTGAGATAGAGCCTAACCTGACCCTCCTGTCTCTGAGTGCTGGAATTACAAGGGTATGCCAGGACACCTGGCTCAGAAGCTCATTCTCAACATGATGTCTGTCCTGGTCCCTGGGAGGAAAGGAGAGCAGCCAGCTAGAGGAAAGTGTTCTGTAAGGATGAGCAGGGATCCCAGAAAGATTGCCCTCTGGTTGGGGAGGGGGAGCTGTGGAGAGGACAGATTAAGAGAGGTCAGACTCGATCAGTACACACTTAATGCATGTGTGGAAACATCACTCTGAACCCCACTAGTATGTACAATTAGTGTCAAAAAGTCTGAGGTAGAACAGTATGAGCTTTCCTAGTGTATATGAGGCAGTGCCAAAAACAATGCCAATAAAAACAAAACAGGAAAGATTAAAATTAAAATTATCTTTCCTCCAAAACTTCAAATATGACCTCAGACATCCCTATCTAGGACCCTCTGCACACAGAGGTCCCCGAGGAAATGATGTGGCAGGTGAGTGCAAAGGCCCACCCTCTGTGGACACTGTACAGAACAAGAGCTGCCCACCCTGCGATCAGGGTCTGCCTGGCATTAGACAAAAGCCCAGAGTGCTGAAAACGTTTCCTCCAACAGGGAGCCCAGCAAAGCCTGCATGTAATCAGGTGATCTCTAAGGTGTGCTAGGCCTGGTCGTGCACTCGTTCCTTAGCAGAGGCAGGAGCCCCAATTCTTGGAGTCTTTCCCTGGCTGCTGCCTCCCAGCCCTTGTTAGCCTGTGGGCTTCGCGGAGAGGGATGCAGGAGCCCCTCCACCTGCACCTCTGGAGCGAGCCCAGCTAGAGCTCTTCGTGCCCGCTGCTCTGCCAGTCGCCCCACTCCCACTACCAGCCGCACCCCTAGCCGCTGCACCTGCCGGCGCAGGGCGGCTTCGCAGATCGCCAGTAGCTGCTCCCGCTGTTTAGCCGGCAGATCAGCTGGGGTGAGGTTTCGTCCACTGGGAGCCAAGAAGAGCAGAGGACACAGATTGTGGACAAAGCAATGCCGGAAGAAGACTTGGGGCTGTCCACAGAGGGCCCGGAAGAGGCCCCAGAATCGGGCTCCGCTCACCTCTGACTGGGTGCACTCCAGTCCCAACACTGGTCTCTTAGGGTGCTCTTGGGGAGGGGTCAGCACAGAGCCCCCAATGCCCAGCCAGTCCCGGACCACATTCACTTCCCCAAAAGGTACCTGTGGGGGAAGGAGAGACAAGGTGATTCCAGCTGGAGACGATCAGGCTGCCATGATGGTCTCGCCCGCCTTCACCATCAAGTCTGTGTGGGGACTCCCAGCCCGTGGTTTGCCCCTGTCCATGTTTCCTCCAGTTTCCCCCACTGTGAACTGTGACGAGCAAAAACTATGTGCCTCTGCTTTCTCCTGGCACTAGGACCAAACACAAGCAGAACACTGGGACATTTGGCCCTACAGCAGGCATGATTCTAATACTGGTGACAGACAGATCTCCTGAAACAGAAAGCTGGCCAGGGTGACAGGAGACAAGCCAGGCTGAGCACTGATCTCTGGGTGCCCTCCCAGCCCAGGCCCCAGGCTGTCATTCCCATCGATCATCATTGATCAGCTTTCATCAGTTGGCTGGGGTCAATAAAAACGATTGAGCCTTCTGCCCTGGGGCTTCTTTACCTCCTCCACCTGGAATACACCCCTGCTGAAACAGTCACTCATCCAGATCCCTAAGGAAAAGCAGGCTGGCCTGTGCCTGACTCTGTTATGAACCTTTCGGAGACTCAGGGGCTTGCCACCAGGATGGCCAACAGCTCCCATACCCCCGTTCTGCCCACAGTCAGTGTTCTGGGAGGATCCAGCAGGCCTAGCCTCTCTTCTGACTCCAACCACTCTAGGGACAAAGGAGATCCGGCAAAGTAAGGTATAGGGCAGGATGGCGGAAGGGAGGGTTCTCAGAGGCAATTAGTGGAGTGCTCACAGGGGAAACGGGACTACCATTAATGTGCTTGGTTAACTATGAACAGAGAAGAAAGGAGAGTGCTTGAGACCACAGGAACCAATATATGTTCTGCAGGAGACGGAGTGGGTGGCCCACCCACCTCCCAGCCAATTCTATGATCTTCCTCTACATCAGGCCCAGGCAAGCATCCACCTCTGAACCACCCACCAGAGGAAGCCAGGCCTTTACCCCAGTCTGGGCCATGCCAAACGGTCCTGGGTTCATGCCCAGGAAGAGCACTTCCTTGGGACATTGGCAGTAGCGGGTCACGTAGTTGCGGTGCGGCTCCCAAGCATAATCCACTGGGTTGTAAATGACACCCACGGGCTCTGGAAACTGCAGCTGGTGAAGTTCGGCATTGAGCCGAAGCTCCTCCTCCAAGAAGCCCTCAGCCAAGCTCTGAGAGCAAGGCAGAGGCTCCATCAAAGCACCTGCAGGTTCATGGGTAGGCCCGGGCAGGAAAGTCTGGGACACAGCCATGCCACTGTTACCTGGAAAAGAAGTGGACAGAGTTTCCTTCAAGCTCACCCCAGTATTAGGATCTGTACTAGCCAGCGGTTCTCACTGTCATTTCCTGGCTCAGAAGAGACCCTTGGAAGCTCTGTCAGTTACTACAAGCTCAATCAAGTTCCTGGGAATGAAGGGACCTCTGCTCCCACCTCCAGAGTCTTCCCTTTTTCTGATACATCAAGCATCCTACATTAGTTACTTGTCTCACTGCGACAAAGTACTTGCAACAGCAGCTGAAGGAAGGGAGGATCCATTTCAGCCCTCAGAAAGTACAGTCCTTCATAGCTGAAGGAGCATAGAATCCTTGATCACACTGCAGTCATAGTCGAAACTCAGAAAGCGATGGATGCCTATATTCCACTAGATCTAGATATCTCTCTCTCTCTCTCCTCACTATGTAACCTTGAATAGCCTGGAGCTCAATGTGCTGACCAGGCTGGCCTTGAACTCAGACTTCCTCCCAATTCTACCTGGGACTAAAGGTGTCTGCTACCACACCTGGCTAGAACTCTCCTTTTTATGCTGTCCTGGTTTGCTTTTATGTCAGCTTGATACAAGTTAAAGTCATGCTGAAGATGGATCCTCAATTTGAGAAAGTGCCCCGCCAGACTGACCTGTGGGCAAGCTTGTGGTGCATTTTCTTGATTGATGACCAATGTGGAAGGACGCAGCTCACTACAGGCAGCGCTGCCTCTGGGCTGTTGATCCCAAGAGCTATAAGCAAGCAGACTGAGCCAGGCAGTGGTGGTATGTGCTTTTAATCCCAGCACTCCGGGAGGCAGAGGTAGGAAGATGTGAGTTCGAGGCCAGCCTGGTCTACAAGAGCTAGTTCTGGAACAGGCTCCAAAGCTACAGAGAAACACTATCTTGAAAAACCAAAGAAGAGAGACAAAGAGAGAGAGAGAAAGCAGATGAATGAGCTGGAGAGATGGCTCAGCATTTAAGAGCACTGACTGCTCTTCTAGAGGACCCAAGTTCAATTACCAACACCCACATGGCAGCTCACAACTGGCTGAAACCCCAGGATCCAACACCCTCACACATGCAGGCAAAACACCAATGTACACAAAATAAAAATAAGTAAGTTAAAAAAATTCATCTTTGAAAAAAAATCCTGAACATGTATCTATGGTGTTCAAATGAAAGAAAGAAAGAAAGAGAGAGAAAGAGAGAGAGAGAGAGAAAGAAAGAAAGAAAGAAAGAAAGAAAGAAAGAAAGAAAGAAAGAAACAAAGCAGACTGGGCAAGCTATAGGAACAGCCCAGTAAGGATCACCCCTCCATGGTTCCTGCTTCAGTTCCTGCCTCTAGGTTCCTACACTGAGTTCCTGTCCTGACGTCCTTTGACAATGTGAAACACCAAGTTAAAACAAACCCTTTCCTCCCCTACTTGCTTTTGGCAATGGTGTTTTATCCCAGCAACAGAAAGGCTAGGACAGCCCACGGCCCCATGGGATGGTGCCACACTTTAAGTTTAGATTCTCTTACCTCAGTTAACCTAATTAGAAACCCTCAGACATGCCCAGAGATTCATCTTCAAAGTGACCCAGACCCTGTCAAGTTGGTAATACCATAATAGCACCCCATCCCAAACCTCTCATCAGATGAGGCCTGAGCCACCCGTTCTCAGGCCACGCTGAACACACAGCACGTTTCCTTCTCCTTTTCTCCTTTCTGCCTCTCTCCCGAGGGTTAAACCTGAGTTCTCACCATGCTAGGCAAGCGCTTTACTACTAATCTACAGTCCTAAACCCTTTTTCATTTAGATGGTGAGTGATACATCTCACTAAATTACTCAAGCTGGCTGTGAGTTTACCCTGTAGTCTAGGTTGGCCCTGAACTTGTGATCCTGTTGCCTTAGCCTCGGGAATAAGAATAAGGAACTCAGCCTACAAAAAACCAGGCACGGCTACTGAATAGATTTCTTTTCTCTATTTTTGGGGGGTTAGGTATATTTCTTTTCTTTAAAAAAATTTTTTTTGTTGTTTCAAGCATGGTGTTAATGCCTATAATCCTAGCACATCTCTGTGAGTTTGAGGCCAACCTGGTCTACATAGCTAGTGCTATGTAGGAGACTGTCTAAAACAAGAAAGAAAGAAAGAAAGAAAGAAAGAAAGAAGGAAGGAAGGAAGGAAGGAAGGAAGGAAGGAAGGAAGGAAGGAAGCCAACCACATGCCTTTAATTCCAACACTCAGGAGACGGAGACAAAGTGGATCTCTGAGTCTGAGGCCAGCATGGTCTACAGGGCGAGTTCCAAGACAGCTAAAGCTACACAGAGAAACTGTCTCAGGAAAAAAAAAATCAACCACCAACCCCCAGAGAAGAAAAAAATTTATCTTCGCGTGTGCCTACATGAATGTATGCCACATATGTGTGGTGGTCAAGGAAGTCAGAAGGCGGCACTGGATCTCCTGGAACTGGGGTCACAGGAAGCTGTGCACTTAGGTGGGTACTAGGAACAGTACATGCTCTTAACCACAAGGTCAAATCTCTGGACTTTTCCTTATTTATTTATTGAGATAGGGTCACACGAAACCCATATTGGTCTCAAACTTGCTATGTAGCTGATAATGGTCATAAACTCCTGATCCTCCTGCCTCCACTTCTTTTTTTGTTTGTTTGCTTGCTTGCTTGCTTGGCTTTAGTTATATTTTTTAGAGACAGGGTTTCTCTGTGTAGCCCTGGTTGTTCTGGAACTCACTCTGTAGATAGGATTGGCCTCAAAATCCGCCTGCCTGTGCCTCCTGAGTACTGTGATTAAAAACATGCACCACCACTGCCCGGTTCTGGTAAACATATAAAATCATATTTTTATGCATGTGTTTAGGATACATGTGTTGTAACAAACCTACGGAAGACAACTCACAGAGGCCTACTGTCACTGTCCACCATGTGGATCCCAGGGACTGAGCTCAGGTCTTCAGCCTTGGTAACAAGCACCTTTACCTCCTGAGCCATTTCATTGGCTTGCCTCCATTCCTTAAGTGCTGGGATTAAAGCCTGAACCAGGCCCAGCAACACTGTCAGGACACATCTACTGGCATCCTTTCTCTCCAATGACATCTGTAACAAGCCAGTCCGTCCAGGACGAGCATGTCCTGGAAATGCTGTACTGACGAATGAGATGCAGGTGCATAGTCACAGCCCAGAGACTTGGGAGGGCTAATTACAGCAGCTTCCAGGTGGTAAGCAATTGCTCTCCACCAGGTACGCCCCATTGATCTTCATAACAACCCCATGAGGTGGGTAATATTGTTCCCATGTTGCAAGCCAGGAGACTGAGGCTTAACAAGATCCAGCAGGTTGCCGAGGGTCATGCAGTTACCAGGTAATGAAGTTGGGATTTGAACCCACACTATCTGACGCAAAGCTACACTCTTAACCACCCACACCATCTTGCCTTGGATGGTTTGATCAGCCACCCCACTAATTCTACAAGTCCCTAACCCCAGCCCAGCTTCTTTCCCACACTCAAGAGTCCTCAGAGGTGAACAGGATGATTACCAGACTCTGAATAGACTCTTATAAGCTATGCAGCCACGGCCAGAACGTCAGGTTTTCACATCTGACTGTGAAGGATAATAATACCCACTTCATAACGCTGTATTTGAATGGGAAGAGGGAAAGAAATGCAGCAGCGAGCCTTCTAAACAACAACCCTGCCCTCACGTCTACGCACAACCAGTGCTTGGACCTGGCCATTCCACTCACTTTCAAAATGCTTCACCCACTTCAATTCCCAAAACTGCACAGGTCATTTTTAGAAACCCAACCAATTATGACTGAGTTAACCAGGACATCAACCAGCAGACAAGAAGGTGACCCACATCCAGTTCAAACTCATCCTTCAAGATGCAGCTCAAACTATCTCCTTCAATGCACTGAAACATTCTCAGAGCCCAGCCCCACCCTACAAGCTAGGATTATAAAATGTTGAAGGTTTGGTCCGGAGCCAATGGCGCTACTGAGAGACCCTGAGTAAACGAGGAAGCTAATCCCACAGGCCATTGGAAGTGAAGCCCAATGGAGGAAGCAGGACCTCGGGGGTGTCTCTGAGGGTCTGTCCTGTCTCTCTCTCTCTCTCCCTCCTGCACCCCTCCCCCCGCTTCCTGGCTGACATAAAATGAGCAGGTTTGCCCTATATCCACCTTTCCCCCATGATGCCCTACCTCAGCACAAACCTGGAGCCAGAGAATGGAGCCTCTGCATTGTGAGCCAAAATCTACCTTTCCTCTCTCGTGCTGTTCTCAGGTGTCTATCACAGCAATAACTGCCTGGCATACCACACACAGGAAGCTGGCTGTGAAGCCAAGACATATGTATCTTGAACAAAGCAATTCAGATGCCCTGGTGAAGGTTGAGAGTCACTGGGTACTGACCCTTTGCCTCCCCAGCCAGAGTAAAGGAGACCAGGATCCAGGCTCTGTTCAATTCCTTGCCACACCTAAAAGGTCCTGGGCCTTAGTATTCAGTAACCCCTGCCCGGCTCTATCCACTTCCACTTTATCAACCTTGTTTAAAGTGACCTTCCAACAATGCACTTTTGTTTCTCCCATGTTAGAGTGGAGCCCTGGGGCCAAGCAAGCACTTTACCACAGAGCTGCCCTGATCCCTAATGAGCTGTTCCTGATGGGCTCCTGTCACCACCCCACAAACCCAGTGTGGGAGAACGAGTCCGGCCTATGAACAGGCTAGGCAGGTACTCTATCACTAAGCTACATCATGAGCTGTCTCTCTTCTTCTTCATTTTTTGTTTGGTTTTTCAAGACAGGGTTTCTCTGTGTAAACTATCCTGCTGTTCTGAAACTCGCTATGTAGACCAGGCTGACCTTGAATTCGCAGAGACCTGCCTGCCCCTGCCTCCTGAGTGCTGGATTAAAGGCTTGCGCCACCGCCTGGCTGTACTTTAATTTTACCTTATAAGTTTTGGGATAAAGTCTCACTATATGGTCTTGGCTGTCATGAAACTCAAGATGGAGACCAGCCTAACCTCACACTTGTGACAGTCTTCCTGCCTCCAGCTCCTAAGTGCTAGGAACCTGCGTGTGTCACCATCACACCAGGTCTGAAATCTGAAACTGAGTTGTGCAGACAGGCATCCAGGACATTCTGGAAAGCTGAAAATGGTGACGTGAACTGTGTTTTCTGGGACCTTGCTTTGCTTTGCACTTCCCTATGCAGAACCAGTATTAGAAGAACCGGCGCCAGGGATTGCTCTTAGGTGCTGAAGGCAGCACGGATGGGCACACAGAAAAGTGACAAGACCTCCTTTTCACTGTTCAGTTTCCAAAGCCCAGTCCCATCACAGGCTAAAAGACAGCTAACTTGAATTCTAGCCCTGGCTGTTCTCTCCCTTAACTTTATTTATTTATTTATTTATTTATTTATTTATTTATTTATTTATTTATTTATTTGCTGGAGAGAGCGGGCATCCACAGCACACATGTGGTCAGAGACAACTTGTACTTCTACAGTCAAGGGTCTGAGGATCAAACTCAGGTCACCAGGTGTGACGGCAAGCGCCCTACCAGCTGAGACATCTAAGAAGGTTCTCTTGTACAAGTCATTTAAGCTCTTATTCCATCTCCTACCACCAGCTGTTGACTTGTTTATCTTTTAGATATGTATGAGTTCCTACATGTCAGTCTCTTGCTGGGAGAAGAAATCCAAAATGAATAAAAAGTAAGACAGGCTCTGGGTAAACCATGAACTAAAAAGACAGACAAACAAGCTGAAATACAATATAATCTAAGCTTTACTCTCCCAGACAAAACATTCCCAGAGCACTAAGAGGAAGCCTAGCAGTTCTACATAGTCACCATCCGTTCA